CACTGTTACGCTTCCAGCTGTTGCCCTCCTAATGGAGTGAAGTCTAGAGAACGCAGCTGGTAAAAGGGGACACGAAGTCCTCCGGCCGTTCCATCTCTGCGTGAGCGGTATGTGCCTGGGACTGGCCGGTGATGCACGCTTGGTTGCTGGTAAAGATGTGACGTGCCACTTGCGGTCCTGGAAGCGTGTTGGATTGCAGCAACCTAAACCCTGGACCTTCTCTGTTTGTGCCGTGCCAGACGGTGATGTAGAGACATCCTGGCAGATGTGGTTGCCCAGCACAGTCAGGATCGCCTTCCCAGCATGTAAGTGGGGGCCTTTCCAAGCTTCAGGTGCAGAAACTAAACTTCAGCACTTAGGCCTTCAGTTTTGTTAACTTCATGAAATGCTTTGTGCAATTTGAGAAGCGAGCGACAAAGCTGAGCGTAGTTTCTGTGGGGAAGGGCTGCTGCATCTGAATTCTTAGTGAAGTTACTTAGAAAATACAAAGGTGCGGTGGTCTTTCAGATAAAGCAGATAATGGTGACTTGTGGGGTAGGACAGGCTTGAGGTTTAAGTGGAGTAGGAAGTTGGTGTGGGTATGAGCAGCTTTGGACGTGAGCAGGCACATCCAGACTCTGCGCGCAGGCAGTCTCGGGGCGCTTCTGTCTGCACCGGCCGCTGTCTCTTCTCTCTGGTGCCTGAGCAGAAGGTAAGAAATTAGAAAGGGCAGCAACATGCTTCTCATGCACTGAGAAGAGTCAGATTCTGCAGAGCTTGGTCCCACTGCCTTTATCACGTGCTCTGTTTCCTCCCAAACTACCCAACAGCCCTGGACTCGAGAGGGAGAGCGAGGAAGAGGTCGTCTTTGATCCGTGGGGCTGTTGGTCACTGCCTGTAGCGAACACCCTGCCCAGCTCGCTGTCCTGGGCTTGGGAAAGTCTCCGTGCTCCAGGGATCCAAACCCAGAAAGGACTTTGCTTGGCCTGTCGTGGTGAGGGAGGGGAGAGTAAGTGTTTTGCTCAGTGTGTCAGATTTTTATCCTGCCTCTGAAAGCTATTTTGTTCTTGGCGTGAGCTCTTCCAGCGCTTGTGAGAAGTCTTGGGCTGGCTTGTCTGTAAGTCTACCACAGTTGAGATGCAAGGATTCTGCTCCCTAAGCAGAGCTAAGGGGCTAAGATGGAACTAAGGCACGTTTTGCCTGGACGTACCTCGCACCATGAGGTTGATGCACCTTGCCTCAGCCAGAGGAAAGTCATGAGAAAAGTTTAAAAAAAATAGGGGTTGACAAGGAAGGACTGAGGGTTATCCAGCAAATGATTTCTGCTCATCACCCAACCTGTGCCCATTTTCCTAGCTGTATACATTCTGCAAATATGTAACAGAGCATGTAAGTGATGCTAATTGTTTGCTATTTAAAACATGGGTTATGATCAGTTACCTTGAATGAAAGCTGGTTTCATTGGTTGACTTTTATTTTTGTATTAAATGACTCTGGAAGATAAAGTTGAGAGAATTCAATCTAGCAGCTCTAAATTATCAATGAGTTCTACATTACTCCTCCAAACTTGTCACCTGGCTCTACTTCTGAAACTATTTCCTTGCATTGTTGTTTTATGGCAATCAAAATATTATGGTTTTCCTGTGACAAGCTGTGCTAGCAGAAGCATGATGTGACCTGATAGAAAAATTTTCTCTTCTTCTGAAACTTACTTGTTAAATGCGTCTTGTGAAGCAAACTGTAGTGAAAAACACCTGTGTATCATTTGGATATTACTTGGGTAGTGAGATCCTGATCATTTGTGGTAATTGCCTTCTTTCATAACTCTTGCAGGGGGAATAGGGAATTCAGCTGCCTGAACACAGTTCAGTGTGATCATACTGTTCTCTAAATTTGTATTTCTTGGAGATCGTAGCACTCTGCCCTTCCTGTCTAAAATTATATCACTCTATTTGTTGAATACATATTCAACAAGTACATGAATATATACATCCACAAATGAATATATATATGTTGAATATATATTCATATACACTGTGTTGCACAGATATCATATTTCAATAACAGGGTTGTTAATTCATAGATCAGTATATAACGTATGGAGTAGTAAAGAGCTATGCAATTCTCATGAAAAATGTCACAAATGCAAGCTGTTATTGTTTACCTGAGTATTACAGCCAAGACAGAAACATACCTTTTGAGATTCCTGTTTGACTGTAGGCCACAGCGGGAAGGTGAGTTTGAGTGGTGCAGAAAAATCAACAACAATAAATAACAATTGGAGAAGGAAGCTTTTCAGACTGAGATTTGATAAAAACTGTTTGAGGGAACGAATGAAGCGAATGCCTCGTGGCAATTTACTCTTGGCCCTGCTTTCACGTGTGTTTGTAGGCTAGGTAAGGGAATGAATAACAGTGAAGGTGAAAAGGTTACAAGGTAAGGAGGTTACTGCCATTTAAGAAGGCAGATGATAGAGAAGGAAGGAAAAAAAGAGCAAGAATTAAAGCTGGAGGAGAAGGAGGATGGACAGTAAAACTGGCAAATGACAGAAGCACATGCACCTCAAGCAGCAGCAGTCGGAAATGGGAAAGTAGGAAGCATGTAGTGGTACAACTGGGAACATGGAGACGAAGGCTGAGGCTTTGTTGTCTTTGTGGACTGACTCGCACCTTGAGGAAAGAAGAAATTAAGCAGGAGGGAGAGCTCATAGATTGTGATTACAAAAATTAATGCAGAAACCCTGGTGGGAGAGGAGGAACAGCTGTGAGCAATGGAAGGGGCAGTCCTTGCGGGAGCCAGAGTGGGTACAAGGGCACCTGCGTGCAAGGAGAAAGAGGGCTGGGAGCAGCAAAAGAGCCAGAGGGCCTGAGAACGTGGTTCAAAACTGCTAGGGTGCAGTGAGGGCTCCCCCGGGACGGAGGGCTGCAGGGACGCCTCGTGGGGCTGGCCGCAGGCAGCTGGGTGCCGCGGGGCAGTCCCAGTCCCAGCCCCAGTGTCGGGCACCTCCTGGGGATGGGGCTGAGGCTGGGAGGGGACATCTGCCCAAGGACATGTGCCCGAGGATGGGACACAGCCTTGTGATGGCAGGGCAGGGCCATGGGGACGTGCATCGCTGCAGACAGTTCTCGGAGAGTAAAATGGGGAAGGCGAGATGTGTTATTTGCCGTTGTAAAGGTTTTGCTGAATACGTGAAGTCAGTTAAGCATCATAAACATCCACAGGTTTTGTTACGCTGTTGTATTCGCTGATGTGTACTGCAGTCTTCAAATATTGTTAAAAAGTGGTATGAATGTGTAAACAATTAGAAATGTGAGAGAAAAACGTAGTGGCAAGATTTGTAGCTTCAGGAGCTATATACTGATCTTGTTCCCCTTACTTATCAAAAGCTATGTCCTGCCATTGCATATGATGCATAATGGTTCAGCAATATAGAAAGAAAAATAGTTTTCTGCCTAGGTTTTTCTTTTTCTTTTGGGTAAATAATAATACTTCACAATTATGATAAAATGTGCTGCATGTCATCTGGAAATAAGGAGATTGTTTGAGCTTTAGTATTAAATGTTAGTCTTATTCTCCAATCATTGCATTAATACATCTCCCAAAATTCTCTTGCTCTAGCAAATTTACCTAAATGTGGTACTTGGAAGCTGGTCATGCATTTACGTGCAGTGTGAAATTTTAAGATATTCCTTTGGGTGTAATTTTACTCAGAAATGTTCTAACATCATTAATATTGTATAAGTGTAACAGGCTTACATTAAAAGCAAGCCACAGACTAGGTCACTTCTAATCTGCACAATAATTCCTACATGGCAATTAGTATTACAGTAAGTATGTAAAATTTGGGGGGGGGACGACAGAATCTACATGTATGGAATTTTTGGAGGCTAGATAACCTTTTCATTGATGACACGACCCGGTTCAATTCAAGTTGCTTACTCTGGCATGGTATTAAAAATTGGTTTTCTGTACTAAAGCTCACACTACTGCTGTAAGAGAAGAAGAAGGGGTAATGGATATTAGATAGTGGAAACCATAAGAAAAAATTCTCACCTTAGACAGGGCCATTTTAGGTAATTGTGATCACTCACCATTGCAGATGTGACCGTCTCTCTCTGGGTCACTTTGGGCAACTTTTACTGTGTATGAACAGACTCTGTAAGCAGGACGTGTACATCTGAAGAGTACGAAGTGATTGTTTATTGGTTAGCAAACGTAAAAGACAGGATTTAATGAGCTCCTAGGCTAGGTGCGGGTGTGCGTCCTGTCCCACGCAGGACACCTGAAGGGTCTTAGCTGGCCAGGCGGCTGTGAGTGAGGTGGAGGAGGACCCCCGGGCACTTCTCCCCGAAACACGTCTGCCTTGCTGCCAGGTTGCTGTCTGCAACCTGCTTCTTTTCTTCTTCGGGATTTGATGCCTTTCCGCGTTGGTGTTTTTTCCTCTTGAATCCTTAAGGTGGTAACAAATCCGGTGTCACCAGTCCTACCTTTGTTTGCGGTTTTAGGGTTTACCTTTCTGCTCTTGCATGGCTGTACTCTGTGCTTTCTCCAAGGTCTTTCTCGTAGCTCAGCAATTTCGTTAGAAGTAAGCCTGAGGCAAGGTGACGCTGCTGTGCTGTGTCAGAGCTACACCTCGGGCTGCAGCAAGCCGGACCCCCCAGAGGGAGGTCACACAGCAGAAACGTTGGATGCTGAGGTCACGTATTATCAGGCGCCAAATGAGGAACTTAATTATTCTTGAAATTTTAAGTGCCACAGTTGATGATTTGGGAGTGTTATACAGCTTTAACGGGGTTTTTTTTGCAATAATTTGCAAAAATTTATTTTAATGCTGAACATTTGCTTTGTGGCAGTGCTTCTGAAACAACCATTTCAGGTGTTAATAATGTGTTATGAGAAATGCGGTTTGAACAGGCAGCAAACACCACTCCTGGCCTTAAATACTCAGTTCACGTCTCAGGCAAATCTTTCAGAAGATTTTCCAGATGCACAGCCTGCAATTGTCCTTTCTTCTGTTCTAGGTAATGGGCCCCATCATGATCGAAGTTGTGTTTACAACCAGAGCAACATAGTAGATGGAGTTTACTGCCTCCCAATAGCACACTGGATTGAAGTCTCTGGACATACTGATGAGATGAAACATACAACTGACTTCTATTTTAATATTGCAGGACATCAAGCTATCCATTACTCCAGGTAAAAGAAAAGTGCAGGGCTTGGCTGGTGTCAAGTATTCAAACAGAAAATCTGTACTGACATAATGTCAGCAAACTTTGAATTTGAAGTGGTGAATGGTAGTATGTATGTAACAGTAAAGTTTAACAAAGATTCAATGCCTCTTTGCAATTAAATGTCACTTTTGGCAATGAAAAGGAGAGATTCGGAGTTCAAGGATACTTGCAGCCTGTACAGGTGTGTTAAGCTGCATCATATCTGAAAATGACTAGTGGTAATTTATGGATACATTTATGAGGAACTGTCATTTTCAAATGCTTGTCCAAATACACATGTAAATATGCATGTAATATGTAATGTGTTTGGTTTGGGATTATTTTGCTGAAAAACATGTCCTGGGAAACAAAAAGAATATATTCCAGCACCAGAACTTTAGGGTGTTGCGTTATCGCTCCTGTGCGGCAGCAACTGCAATTAGTGACAGCTGTTATAGATGACTTCTGCTTCTGTGAATGCATTTAAAAAAAATACTAAAACTTAGACAAGTCTTAAAATGTTTGTACTTCCGTGCTGTTCACTTGAGTCCAGCGCCTCGCCAGTGAAGCATCCCAGCCTGAATTAGGAGACAATGAAGCTTAAAGAGAAGAGGGGTATCCGCCCTTTAGGGCTGCAGATAAAGGACAGGCTCTATTTAGAGCAGCAGCCTTAGCACTCGTGGTTAACACAGTGGCACTGAGGAATTTGGGACCATTTGTAACTTTTTTCCACATCTCCAGTCATGGATGTGGCAGCAAGTGTGTTGATTGATAATGGTTGCATGAATGCTGGCAGCCCTGATATGCCACGTGCAGCTGGTGTTGGTTATGGAGCAGCTAGTGATCCCAAAGGGATACGTATTTTTGGAAGAAATTAAAGCACCTCGTACTTTCCTTAGGTCATAGCATTGCTTTGTGTGAATTTCTCCAGACTACCGCTTCAGCGATGCCAACCTCACCGTCTTGCCTCCTCTTTCTACTCTTCTGTCTCCACCCTCCCACAGGGGAGGAAGCAGAATTGTCTTTTTCTTGTCAGAGTTGCAGTGTATGAGGTGAAGATTTCCTTCTCTTGCTATCTTTTGGAATAGCACGGATTCATAAACGCTGTTAGGCATATGTACGCATTCGTGTGGCTTGGTACCTTTTTCCTGAGACCCCCTCAAGCTGTATAATATGCCTGACAGACTATACTGTTATCTGTATCTTAAGCATCTGTATCCAGCGTCCTATCAGAGAAAAGATCTTGTTTATTCCAAAGCACAGACTTGTCAATCCCAAATAATCTTTGCTTGGCAGAGGAAGTTTGTGAGAAAGAAGAACAGCTGTCAGAAAGCGAATATCTAAGTACCAAAGGCTAACTTATCTTCCTTTCCAGAGGCAGCAGTGATCCATTTAATGCTGCCTTATCTGCGTTACTATGTGTTTCCAAGATTAGGTAAAAAGCTGCAGATTCCCCTAAAGAATATTTGAAGAAAATTTTCTGAGTTGTGTAGTCTTTTCCAGATGACGATCTCCTTCTCTGTTGCCCTCTCACACACACATACCTTCATTGCAAGGCAACCTTATATGTACATCTTCAGTAATTCTTATCTCATTTCTTTGAGCTATATTAAGTGAGCGAACCCCATAACAGTCCTGTCGCATAATTATTTTTAATACTTTGAAGATATGCAGCCTTAAATGACTTTTTAATTATTAACAGTTGGGAGCGGATTCACCGTTCTGCTGGTTATAACAAAGCAGCCCAAAAATACTGGCTGATGAAGATTTTGGGTTTTGGCAGAGCAGCTGAAGTGAGCTGATGAAAATGCCTTTATTTTGTAATGGATTTATTGATTCAGAAGAGTACTAGGGAGATTAATATCACCAAAAAGAAAAAAAAACAACAACGAAACCAACAACAAAAAAACAGAAGCAAAAAGCCAGTCCCTCTGCCTGTACGGTTAAAAGCTCAGTGTATGGTCGGATCATAGTTATCCAGCTAAGGTTCCTTTTTTGCACACTGTAACGGAGCAGCACTACTGCGGGAAGCTTTATGAGCACAAATTCCAAGTCCTGTCACCAGCTGTAGGTTCTTTACAGAACGGCAGCGGCTGGAGAGAAGTGATTTATCAATGAAAACTTCTGACATGAGCCCCTTCTCTATGTTCATCTCTGTCAAAATGGCCTCCCATGTGAGCCCTGGGACTGATTTTACTTGTCCTCTGTTTAATCACAACAATTAGAAACAGTTGCTCTGAGCTTCCTTACCACCTTGCTTCTTCATAAAACATGTGCCTCAACTTTAAAGGGGCTGCAGGAGGGTGAGAAGAGCCTGCTTCCTGCTGCTGCCAAAAATCGGTCTGAATAATACTGAGGCTGATGGCAATGCTCTGAGGAATCAGGTTTTTCTTATTCAGTACAGATGTGTTTGCTCATAAATCAGTGAATTTATGTTTAAACTCATATTTAGAGAGCTCACATTGTGTTGGTCATTCAGGTTGGAGAGTATGTGATGTGTTTTTTAAGCATAGCAGGATTTGAATTAATTTTTTTTTTTTGAGTGTGAACTAGAGCTTGCCCGCAGCTGCAGAGTCATGACTGATACCTCTGTGCTGTTAGTGTTCGCTTGTTTTGGACGTGTAATGACACATATCACTGAAATCTGATTCAGGAGAAAATAACAGTCCCTTTCTCTTTCATGTTAGATATTACTGCAATAAGATGCCTTCAAATTGCAGAAGAGTTAGGACACTTGGGACCCTGTAATTTCCCAAAGCAAATTAGAGTTATTGTAATTTTTCTGGGAGAAGATTACTTCAGAAAACTTGTAAATCTGGGGTGTGTTAGCTCTGTTTCAGTTCCGTCTGTGAAAGGTGGAACTTCCTAATTCACAGCTGTTATACGCCTTATTTACATAAACCCCTCTGCAATTCTCAGAAGAAAGACATTGCATAAGAGCGAGACAGGGAGTGACCGCTGAAATTACAAAATCCTTAAGTAATATGTTGGAGACAATGATGCTTGATGGCAATATTAGGTGCTACGGGAATGAGTATCACCAAGAGGAAAAGCCATCTAGTTACAGTTTCCTATTTTCAGACTAATTTTAGGTTCCCAAATCCACCCCTGCCAAGTAGTGAGTTCCCATAGTTTTTGCCTACTCATTCAAATACAATGTATTTTAGGACACTTACTTTGATGCCATCTATGGGGTCTAATTTTTACTAATGCACACTTCAAATTTACTGTCTTCATAACTGTAATTTTATTCATTGTGTGTGCTTTTCGTGGGTCATATCTCCTAAATCTGATGAAGAAAAATATCTTTTACATACTTTGCATGCTTTTGCAAAGCTTTGCATGTAAAAGGCAGCTAAACTGGATTCTGTAAGTGAATTCCTCGGACAACGACAGCTAATCTGTGACTGAAGTATTGTTATGGCTGCTAAACATTTTACAGGAAAATGTCCAGTGAGTTTAAAATGTAAAAGAATGTATTGGGGGAGTCACTACATGAGAGTAGCCGTGGGTCCTGACAACAATTTTTTGAGGTACAGTTTTTATGGTAGCTTTTTTGCACTTTAATATTAAGGCCATTAAATATAAATATTCCATATTTGTGGAGCAAGTGGGATGTTCCTGTAACTGGATATAATCCAAGAAATTGTGCAGTTGATGAACGAACATGTTGCTATCATCAGTGTTTATGTCCCTAATGTTTTCTGTAAGACAGAATAAATCAAAAGAAAAGGAACCCTTGTGCTTGGAAATACTATTTTTGTTCATTTGTTTCTTGATGGTTGCAAATTAAACTTAATTTATGCTGTAGTCTTTACAAATGCTTTGTAGCTTGTTGGCAAGACAGTTTCCTTCAACACTGCTGTAGTAATGTAGGTTATAACCTAAGGTAAGTGTTAAGTGGGAATGATCAGGAGAGTCACATAAAATGTGTGCTCCCGATTTGTACTAAAATATTAATGTAGATAGGTGAGTGGATGAGTAATGATCCAGGGCAAAATCCAGATGCTTCTTGTTTACCTTCTGGAGGCACTAAAGCAGTATTCTGCTGCTGAGCACTGAGTTTCCTTTTGTCTGTAGTAATTGTCCTGTGAAGAAAATAAGCGTTTACTTGATTGATAAGCGTCTTTAATTGGGGTGGAACACAAGAAGCTGCTTGAATACATTTTTGCGTGAGGATCACTGGAGAAGGGAAATAATGTAACTTCTGTTAACTTGTTTGGGTCATACGAGGCACAGTAATTGCTATTTGAATGTTAGAACACCGCTGGGATTGATGAATGTAAAGATATGTTTAAAGACATCTGCGGTAGGACTCAGCTTGAGATCAAGACCACTAGATTCATATGTCTATAAAGAGCAATCCAACTCACTTGTGACTAGATGTCTACTTTAGAGTGAACCGAAGAATTGAATTGGTCTCTAAACTCTGCTGACGCTGCTGCTGAGATCTCTATTGATTTGTAATGAGACATTAAACATCCTGTCTGGTTCCTTGAATGTTGATGTCTAGTGTCATTGGAGATGCTCTAAAGTTTCCTGCCTGGCTTCCAGCTGCCGCACTACAGGAGCGTGGTTCCTTACAGCTCCTTGGCCATGTCTGTGAGCCCCATCCAGATGTTCCAGATGCTACAGGATGTCTCCGATGTCAGTGGGAAGCTGTCCTTGGGCAATGCATTGAGCATTGCTGTGCCTGGAGACACTTGTTTGTAGATAAGCAGGGCTAGGTGTCTTCATCTTGATCTTGTATCCCATCCCTAGCCTGTATTAATGAATAATGTCCATCTCGGTTCAGTAGGAAGTCAGAATTACCTTTGAATTATGCAACTGGAAAAAAATGCAAGAGAGAGCGCTTTTATTTATTTTTACTCTTTAAGTTCTCTTCTGACTTATTGGTTTTAATTAATTCGCAAAATAAAATACCTTTCTGTTTTGAGTGTAATTCTGAAGTAATTTTTTTATTACTGAATTATAAAAAAAGCTTTA